ATGATGGGTCTTAGCTGTCAGAGGAACAAGCCTAGGAAAGAAGGGAGTGAACACCAGGATTGCTGGGGATGGGGGTCGTTCTGGATGTTGCATCCCTGACCCCATCCCCACACACACACCCCAGTACCCCTGAACCCTGCTCCACAAGCCCCCGTCCCCGAGGCTGGGAAATGTGGCCTCACCGGAGTCCTTTCTGGATACTCAGCACAGCATTTGTAAAGGTGATTCCCCTCCCTCCGTGTGGCCTCAGGGTGGATCTGGGATGGAAGGAGGGACCAGGAGACCAGCTCCCTCAAGGTAGCCTGGTCTTTGTTGTTGTTGTTTTGAGATGTTCCTCTGTTGCTCAGGATAGAGTAGCAGTGGCATGATCTCGGCTCACTGCAACTTCCACCTCCTGGGTTCAAGTGATTCTCGTGTCTCAGCATCCCAAGTAGCTGGGATTACAGGCGTACACCACCAAGCCCAGCTAAGTTTTTGTATTTTTAGTAGAGACGGGGTTTCACCATGTAGGCCAGGCTGGTCTCGAACTCCTGACCTCAGGTGATCTGCCTGCCTCAGCCTCCCAAAGTGTTGGGATTACAGGCGTGAGGGGGTGGCCAGGAGACCGGCTTGACCAGGTCAAGTGTTTTTAAAGGGTAACCACAAAATAATCAAAAATGAGTTTTCATTTTGGGATGAGGGAGCTAGGACATTTTTCTGAGTGGACATGGGCTCCCCCCACCAAAGCTGTGACTTCTGCACAAACCTCTACATGGGTGGAGCAAGCATTGCCTTCACTGGGATGCAGATGCCACGGGGAGGCGCAAAAGCTTCCTGAGGAGTCACCGGTTTCTTCTGCACAAACTGCTCTAGTTGGGAATGACCTCAAGAGACATGAAAACCGTCTCTTTCTTGCAACTCATTGCAAGGCGGTGGAAACACCCTTTCTTCATTACAAAACTGGTCCGTGGGGATGCAGAGTCTTCAGCGGTGACAGCTGAGACACCTGTTTGAGCTACTCAGTGCCGGGCAGTGCGCAGCACCGCAGCACTGTGGCGGCAGCACCAGGCACGCATCTTTGAGACCCAAGCGCCTGTCAGACCCAGGGTGTTCCTTGTGTCCCAGAGCCAATACCTCCTTTAGTCCCGCCCCTTGTGGATCCTCGGGCCGGCCTTGCCCCCTGCAGGCCTCCACCTGCGTCGATCTAGCGTCGCCCCAGTAGCTCCTGGAGGCCCTTCCCTTCCGCGAGTCCTGGGGCCACTGGGGACTCCACGCGCCCGGGGTCTCCCACCCTGCCCCTCGGCCCCGGTCCTAGTCCTATCGCTCAGCACCGCCCCCTGAGGTCGCGGCGGGCTCCACCTCCTTCCTACATCCACGCGGCTTCTCCGAGGCCCCGACCCTGCGGTCTCCCCAGGGTCCCTCCAAGGCTGCACCCCTCCATACTCCCCAAGACCGGCAGACTCCCGCCCTCGACAGCCGCTGGATCCACCTCCTCCCACTGCCAGGCCCCGCCCCTCTCCCGCGCGTGGGGCCAGTTGCGCTGTCTCCAGGGCGGGGGCGACCAGGTCCATCCGCGGGGCCTAGGAGTGGTCCTTCTGCGCGCCCTCGGCCCGGGGTAGCTTGACAGCTCGCGGCGAAGTTCGGGGCCTTGCGTGAGAGTCGTAGGACGGCTGGGGACGGTGCCGGTGGAGGCGGGACTCCGTGGAGGCCAGGCATAAACGGCAGTCACCCGGCCTCACCGGCCTCGATCTGGTGCTAGGTCGCCCTGAGTCGTCCTGGGCTTGAGAGCTGGGGCGAGCTCTGAGGCCCCGCCCTCTGAGCGACCTAGGCCCTGGGGCGGCGGCTTCTTTACCTAAAAGAAGGGAATGCAGCGTGAGACCCTCGTTGTTTCCACGACAAGAGACTACAGAGACCAAGGGAAGGCGGGAGATGGAAAGATTAAGAGAGAAATAGAAACACATGCATGTAGGGAGGTAGAGACAGACCGGTGGAAAGAGATGGAGGCAGGCAGAGACGTGCAAGAGGTCAATGAGACAGACACAAAGAGGAGGGGAGAGACACTAAGAAACAGAAGAAGCTGCATGAGGGTCAGAAACGCAGGTAGGTAGAGGGGAATACCGCTTCAGATGCAAGCAAACGCGGGAGACAAAGCAAGGAGCCAGTAGAGCTGTGAGTTGGCTTCAGGCCAGGCCTCCTCCGGCTGCCGCCCTCCTACACCCTAGCTGCGGGGCCTCAGGGAGGCCGACAAATGCCTCACCTGCAGACTCTTTGTGTCTCTCGTATCTCTCTCTGGCACTCTCCCAGTCTCGTCTCTAATTTAATCCCATCTGCTTCCAGCAAGGACTTCAGCGGCTGTCTCAGGTTCCTCCTCCTGTTTCTTCCCGTCCTCCATGCCTTAGCCCTTAGTCTCTACTTCTATCTGTCTTGATCTCTCAGCTCCCCTCCCCAATTTTTCTGCTTTGGTCTCCCTGGCTGGTGCTTTCACAGTGTGACCCCGGTGGCCCTTGAGTTTGCCACCTACCTGTCTGCACGGGGAGAAGGGAAATAGTCGGTGGGCTAGGGGGGTTAAGGAGGTGGGCGGGATCAGGGAAGAGCAAGGGAGTCCAGCCCTGACAGGTGTGGGATCGCTTTACTCACTTCCTCAGGGAGGGACCCTGACAGATGAGGGAGAAAGAGACAGACATGGGGGAATCAGAGGGACTGAAGAATAGGGAGAAACACATAGATAGAAAGAGAAGCCAGTTTACTGAGAGATCAAAGGAGAGACAGAGATGCAGAGAAAGATACCAAGAGGCTGGGCGCGGTGGCTCACGCCAGTAATCCCAACTTTTTGGGAGGCCGAGGCGGGTGGATCACCAGAGGTCAGGAATTCCAGACCAGCCTGACCAAGGAGGTAAAACCCCGTCTCTACTAAAAATACAAAAATTAGCCGGGCATGGTGGCAGGCACCTGTAGTCCGAGCTGCTAGGGAGGCTGAGACAGAAGAATTGCTTGAACCCGGGAGGTAGAGGTTGCAGTAAGCCGAGATTTCGCCACTGCACTCCAGGCTGAGAGCCAGAACGAGACTCCATCAAAAAAAAAAAAAAAAAGTGAGAAGGAGAAAGACACACTGAGAAAGACACAGATAACAGGGAAAAAAGAAAAACAGGAACAGAGAGAACAAGATTAAGATGGTGAGATGGATACAGAGGAACAAGAGATGGAGTCAACGCAGAGGGAGGAAGAGCAAGAGGGAGACAGAAGAGAGGTGCATGCACTTCACCTTGAGTCTGGGGCTACTGGTCTCAGTGTTCCTATTTCCAATGTTCTCTTAGTGGCAGCTGGAGAACAGGGAATGACAGGCAGGGCAGCTCTGACACCCCCCACACTAACCTAGGGGCAGAACTTTAGAGATCGATGCTCTGATGTTAAAAAATGGGAACCATCCCAATGGGCCTATTTAGGACCATGTCTGAGGTGACACAAATCTGCCTTTTGTTGTCCTCGTTTGCACTTGAGGAAACTGAAACACAACAAGGTGAAGCAACTTCCTGTGATTACACTGCCTCAGAGGGGCAAGGTTGGGACTGAAATCCATGGCCGGCATGGTGGCTTATGCCTGTAATCCCAGCAGTTTGGGAGGCCAAGACGGGAGGATCGCTTGAAGCCAATAGTTCAAAATCCTTATTTACAGCACTTAGAGTTTCTGAGATGTAATTTACGATATAATTTCTGGGACAACATATTCTCAATTATAATTACAGGTGTCATTTGAAGGTTTTATAAGCCTTCTTTGCTAAAGTAATAATTTCAAGGACAAACATTTATCTTTTTGGACAGGTTGTCTCTCTGTCACCCAGGTCGGAATGCAGTTGTGCAATCTCTGCTCACTGCAACATCTGCCTCCTGGGTACAAGTGATTCTTGTGCCTCAGTCGCATGCATAGCTGAGATTAGAGGTACATCCCATCATACCTGACTAATTTTTGTATTTTTGGTAGAGACAGGGTTTCACCATGTTGGCCAGGCTGGTCTCGAATTCATGACCTCAAGTGATCCGCCTGCCTTGGCCTCCCAAACTGCTGGGATTACAGGTATGAGCCACCATGCCTGGCCTATTATTACTATTTTTTTTCAAGATGGAGTCTCACTCTGTTGGCACAGGCTGGAGTGCAGTGGTGCAATCTCAGCTCACTGCAACCTCTGCCTCCTGAGTCAAGCAATTCTTCTGCCTTAGTCTCCTGTGTAGCTGGAATTACAGGCACACACCACCATGCCTAGCTAATTTTTAGTATTTTTTTTTAGTAGAGATAGGGTTTCACCATTTTGGCCAGGCTGGTGTCGAACTCCTGACCTCAGGTGATCCACCCGCCTTGGCCTTCCAAAGTGCTGAGATTACAGGTGTGAGCCACTGCACCAGGCCACAGCCTATTATTTTTTATAGACAGATAATAATTGTAAGTATTTATGGGGTATAGTGTGATTTTTTTCTTTTCGAGGCAGGATCTCACTCTGTCGCCTGGGCTGGAGTGCAGTGGCACCATCATAGCTGACTGTACCCTCGACCTCTGGGTTCAAGTGATCCTCCCACCTCAGCC